GGCCCAACAGCACGGGCTGCACCACAGACTTTCTCTCCCGGGGCCCTAGGACAGCTGCTCACCTCACTGGCCCTCAGTTTCCTCGTCTGTAAAATGGGCTAAGAGCACCCTGCTCGAGGTGCCCACCTGCATTGGCCAGGAGAGCGGCATACCCATCGGGTATGTGAATGCGTTGGGGTCTGGAGTGCGACCCCAGCCCCCTCTCCCTCGCACTCAGGCGGAGGGGGCCCTCCCCACCTTGCGGGGCTCAGACAGGCCCCGGGTGAGGCAGGTGGTGCGGCCCCTCCCTGCCGCCATCCGTCTCCCGGCTTTATTAATGGCCGCGTCAGAGCAGCGCAGGACGCTGGCGGCTGTCTGCAGTGATGGATCGCGAAGGGCCTCTGCTGCTATTCATTCTCCGGTGACCCTGTCCCCCCACGGCTGCGTGCGTGAGAGTTATGAATGTGGGACATGATAATTTGATATTGATCTATTTGACGAGCTACGAACGCACTGCACCCTGATGTTTTAACAAAGGATGCACTTGACTCCTGCAGGCAGGATAAGGGCTGCTCTGCCCGCCGCTGGCGGCCCCGTGGGCAGGGACAGCCGGCCCCAGAGGGCCCGAGGCAGGCTGCAGGGGTCCTGGAGAAGCATGGGCTGCTCTGGCTCAGGAAGATTCTGGAAGGGGCACCAAGAGGCCATAACAGTGCACACAGGACCACAATGACAAAGGTGACCTTGAGCAATTGACCACAGATGGAGAGAGGCCACACTCCAACCACTGCGGACACAGGGACGGGGCGACACAGGCTGGATGTGCCGGGTGGGGCAGGGGGCTGCAGGTGTGGTGAGGGGACTATGGGAGATGAGGGGGCGGGGGAGGGGACGGTTAGGGAAGGGGGCTGAGGGCGGTGGGGGGTAAAGGGGAAGCGGGTCCTGTGGGGAACAGCTTCGTCCAGCGGCGGACAGATACGAGGGCACAGACAAGGCCCAGGAGGGAGAGGAGCAGCAAGAGGCAGGGGTGGTGCAGGTGCCCAGGGGACCCCAGACAGAGGTCGCAGCGCATGACCATATCAAGAAATGAGCGATAGTTTCCAAACTTACTGTTTAGTGCTGGAATCTGCTTTTTCCATGTAAAACAGAACAAGAGTTGGGATTTCTGAGTTTAAGGTGATTCCAGGGACTCGGAAAACTGCTGTATAATCCTAGTCCCACTCATCCCCAAAACTTGGGGGGTGTCACTGGGCATGTGTGTCTGTGAGCACAGGCAGGTATGCAGGGGTGTCTGTGAGCACACGCAGGTATGTATGCAGGGATGTCTGTGAGCACACACAGGTATGTATGCAGGGATGTCTGTGAGCACACACAGGTATGCAGGATGTCTGTGAGCACACACAGGTATGCAGGGGTGTCTGTGAGCACACACAGGTATGCAGGATGTCTGTGAGCACACACAGGTATGCAGGATGTCTGTGAGCACACACAGGTATGCAGGGGTGTCTGTGAGCACACACAGGTATGCAGGATGTCTGTGAGCACACACAGGTATGCAGGGGTGTGTGAGCACACAGGTATGCAGGGGTGTCTGTGAGCACACACAGGTATGCAGGGATGTCTGTGAGCACACACAGGTATGCAGGGATGTCTGTGAGCACACAGGTATGCAGGATGTCTGTGAGCACACAGGTATGCAGGATGTCTGTGAGCACACACAGGTATGCAAGGGTGTCTGTGAGCACACACAGGTATGCAGGGGTGTCTGTGAGCACACAGGTATGCAGGGGTGTCTGTGAGCACAGGTATGTATGCAGGGATGTCTGTGAGCACACAGGTATGCAGGGGTGTCTGTGAGCACACACAGGTATGCAGGGATGTCTGTGAGCACACACAGGTATGCAGGGATGTCTGTGAGCACACACAGGTATGCAGGGGTGTCTGTGAGCACACACAGGTATGCAGGGGTGTCTGTGAGCACACAGGTATGCAGGGGTGTCTGTGAGCACATACAGGTATGCAGGGGTGTCTGTGAGCACACAGGTATGCAGGGGTGTCTGTGAGCACACACAGGTATGCAGGGGTGTCTGTGAGCACACAGGTATGCAGGATGTCTGTGAGCACACACAGGTACGCAGGGGTATCTGTGAGCACACACAGGTACGCAGGGATGTCTGTGAGCACACAGGTATGCAGGGGTGTCTGTGAGCACACACAGGTATGCAGGGGTATCTGTGAGCACACAGGTATGCAGGGGTGTCTGTGAGCACACACAGGTATGCAGGGGTGTCTGTGAGCACACAGGTATGCAGGGTTGTCTGTGAGCACACACAGGTATGCAGGGGTGTCTGTGAGCACACACAGGTATACAGGGGTGTCTGTGAGCACACACAGGTATACAGGGGTGTCTGTGAGCACACACAGGTATGCAGGGGTGTCTGTGAGCACACAGGTATGCAGGGGTGTCTGTGAGCACACACAGGTATGCAGGGGTGTCTGTGAGCACACACAGGTATGCAGGGGTGTCTGTGAGCACACACAGGTATGCAGGGATATGTGTGCACCTGAAGGCAGTATCTCTTACTGTTGGTTCATGTCAGCTGGGCCCTGTCTTTTTTACAGTGATCGCATCTAAACCTGGGTGCCGGGCTGCTGTTTTCTGCATGACTGGCTCATTTTATCTCACAACGGACCGGAGCAGGGACCATCTCCAGAATCCCTTACAGACAGAACTCTGAGCTCAGCACCCCATGACCTGGTTCTAGGGGTGCGAGCTGGGCCCTGTCTCTGAGCAGGTAGACACAGGATCTTTCTCCCCGGGGCCCCAGACCCACCTGTGTTGGCTGGGGACCAGAGTGGCAGGTGGCTTTGCTTAGGGACACACTTGGAGTCTGACCCCCTGCCCTCAGGGGGTTGGGCTCACCTAGGATGTGAGGTGCATCTATCCAGGTCCTGGGGCCCAGCACTGCGAGCTGCTCTCGGCGGGGTGTCTGTGCCTGTGACATTTCCTGCTGCTGCCCTGCTCTGGGAGGGACTCGGGGAAGCCTGGTCCAGGTGACACGTGTAGGTCCCCTGGGTGAAGGTGGCAGGCGAGGCCTGTGTCCCGAGGGAAGGCACAGGGGTCCAGATGTGGAGGGCAGCTGTGGGCTCACCACGGGCCGGGGGCCTTCCTGAGCCGCGGGCACCTCCTGCCACAGTCAGTGAGGTCTGAGCCCTGGCTGGACGGGAAGCGCCTGGGGCCTGGTGGTGGGTGCTGTGGCTGGGCCTCCCCGACCCCAGCGGCCGAACTTCGGGTCCCCTGGACACGCTGCTGTGGCCTCCTCAGAGCCAGGGGGCCGGAGGAGCTCCTGGGTGGGACCCTGTGGGGTCAGTCCTTGGTCAGGGCGGCCCAGGCAGAGGGCCCAGACGCTCCTCTGGCTGTCCCAGCCCGTCTCCCCTCAGGGGCCCCTCCTCTCGGTGACCCCCGTGTCCACACACACAGATGCTGGCGGGCATGGCGGCAGCCAAGCTTACCCCCCGCCACTAGGGAGTCTACATCCAGGAGGGACCTGGTGGGACGTGGGGCGGTGGAAACAGGTGTCCCCGCCCTCCCACCCCTCACCCCCCGCGTGGGTCCTGAGGTACCTGGAGGCACAAGCTGCCCCCCTGCTCCGAGGCGCCTGTCCGGGCATCACCCCCCAGGGACCTGGCGCTCCAGGCTGCCCTCAGCCACGTTCCGACCCAGCTCGGCCCCTATGAGGTAGCAGGTAGATGGGCTCACAACTCCGCTCCCAGGGCGCCTGCTGGGTGTGGGGCACACCCAGATGTGTGTATGGGGGAGGCGGGGCACTGTCAGCAGGGGGAACATTCTGGAAGTCTCAGGCCCCGGGGGCCTGCCTGGCAGGTGGGTGACTGCATGCGTGTCCAGACCTCAGGCAGGAGGGAGCTTGGGGCTGGATGTTCCTCTGAGCAAATGCCAGGCCAGGGCCAGGCCTCAGGGAGTCACAGGCCACCTGCAGCGCTGGGGTGGGGAGAGGGGTCCCAGCCCCGCGTCCCCTCGCCAGCTACACAGCCTCGACAAGGCCCTGCGGGGCACAGGCGGGCGTGGCTCCTCCAGCTCCGGGGACAGGTGGCTGGGGAAGTCAGGGCCAGACCCCTGCTGTGCTGGGAGTGTCACTTCCCCTCAGTTTGGGCAGAGGAGCCGCCGGCAGGTCACGGGAAACTGTCCGGAAGCCTCGGTTGTCTGCTCAGGCTGCACAAAGGGGCCCGTGCGTCTGGACCAGTGCTGACGCCTCACTCCCTCTCTGGGGTCCGTGTGGCCACGGCCGGAGGGGGAAGCTCCGGGGCCTGTCTAGGGGGAGCGGCGGGAGTGCCGCAGGGAAGGAGAAGGTGGCTTTTAGACAGAGACTGAAAGAAGGGGTTGGGGTTGTGCAGGGTGTCTGGAGGGAGCAGCACCGAGGGGGTGGGAGGTTAAGGGTCAAGGGTGAAGGTGGAGCAGCTGCAGGGCCATTGGTGGTCAGCCTCTGGCCACCAAGAGGATTTGGATGCCACAGAACAGTGGGACCCACGCTACAACAGCAGAGGTGACCGGCTGCAACAGGGACTGTGTGGCAGACAGTGAGAGGAACCCCCGGGCAGTGGCAGACGAGTGCATGCTTGGCCCTGGGGCACTGCCCCCCGGGGCCCTGGGCAGACAGCGGGAGCACCCCCGGGCAGTGGCAGACGAGTGCATGCTTGGCCCTGGGGCACTGCCCCCCGGGGCCCTGGACAGACAGCGGGAGCACCCCCCGGGCAGTGGCAGACGAGTGCATGCTTGGCCCTGGGGCACTGCCCCCCGGGGCCCTGGGCAGACAGCGGGAGCACCCCCCGGGCAGTGGCAGACGAGTGCATGCTTGGCCCTGGGGCACCGCCCCCCGCAGGCCCTGGGCAGACAGTGGGAGCACCCCCGGGCAGTGGCAGACGAGTGCATGCTTGGCCCTGGGGCACCGCCCCCCGGGGCCCTGGGCAGACAGCACAGCTGAGGCGTTCTTCCTGAGCAGCTTTACTGAATGTCCTTTGCAGACCTCATCCAGGGTGACAGCTGGACCCTCCTGGGACCTGCCGAGCAGCCTCAGGGCATAAGGGACCCTGAGGTGTGGGTGTGGGTGTGGCCGCAGGGCCAGGGCAGCGGCGGTCTCTGGCTGTGATCTCATCCATCAGGCTGGACTGTTCCCCCCAACCTGGGGGTTTGGGTGTGAAGCAGATGCTGGCTCATGGGTGCCTGGCCTCCGGTGCACCCTGGCTGTTGGGGTAGAACTGTCTGAGCAGGTCCCTCTTGTTGACCTTCCCCATCTGGTTCCTGGGGATCTCCTCCACCAGCAGGAGCTCCGAGGGCACGGCATACGGGGCCAGGACGCCTCTGCAGAGACAAGCGTGACCTGAGTGGCAGAAACTCCGGGCCCAGGTGGCATCCACCCCACGGCCCAAGAGCCTGGCTGCCAAACTCGGTGTCCCCAGTGGTGATTGGGGGGCACATCATGTTTCCTCCACCATGCCGGCACTGAGCGGGGTGCCAGGGCCCAGAGACAAGGGGGCCCAGGCGGGTCTGCGGTGGCCTGAGAGGACGGCAGGTTCCCAAGATGAACAGTGCAGGTGAGCAGGTGGTGGAACACCATTTCCCAGGAACGAAAAGAAAAACCAGTCAATCTAGAATCCCATGTCCAGCGAAAGTATCTCTCAAGCATGAAGATGAAATTAAAGATGGGTGGAGACACACGGAAGCTGACCAGGTCCCGCAGCAGCAGACGGCACCAGAGGGGTGTGTGTCTGCAGGCAGGAGGACCCTGCTCACAGAACCGAGGACTAGCCAAGGACAAGAGAACCAGAGATGGGAAACAGATACCATCCCTTGTTACTGCGTTCTCTCCAGGAGACAGCCGTTTGACAGAGTAAAGGGTGTGTAACGAATGTGAAGTGACGCAGAGCGACAACAGCGCACAAGCTGTCTGTGTGGAGCGGCTGACCTCACGGGAGGGAGACTGTGAAGTCAAAGACGCACACCATAAACCTGACTGAGCCACCACTAAGTCAGGGAACAAAACCTATTAAAAAAAAATGATCTAAAAGCAACCAACCAATCGATGTGTCTCTCACACTGATGCCTCTCCATCCCTCCCTTCCAATCTCTAAAAGTCAGTGGAAAAAACATCCTCAGGTGAGGATTAACTAAAAAATAATAAGTAGCCAAGGCCGGTTTTCTCAGTGGTCAGAGCACCGGCCATAGGACCAATGGGTCTCGGGTTCGATTCCTAGCCAAAGGCATGTACCTGGGTTACAGGTTCGTCCCTGGCCCTGGTCGGGTCATGTGGGAGGCAACCAGTCGGTGTGTCTCTCTCACATCGATGTCTACTTCTCTCTCCCTTCCTTCCACTCTAACAATCAATGGAAAAATATCCTGAGGTGAGGATTAACCTGAATAAATAAATAACTCAAAGCTCTGTGAAAAATGCAGGTTTAAAATCGCAGACCCTGCCACGTCCACGGACAGTGGTCCTTCTGTGGAAATCTTCACGTGGGACAGTCTGTCTCAGAGTCTGCGCGCTGGGCCTGTTTCCCCAGGGCCCCAGCTCAGCAACTGGTACAATACAAAGCTCTGGAGCTGCTTCTCGCACTGGGATCCGCACAGCGGAGTTGTTTGCTAGGAGCGAGTTTCCCTGTGAACAGCCCCTGGGACAATGGAGATGTCACCTACTGCCTCGGACACGTCTCCTTGGAGGGACGGCGGGAGCTGCTGGACAGGACTGGAGCCACCACCCAGGATCTGATCAGAAGCTGACACCAAGGAGGCTTCCCAGGTGTGTAAGTCCCACGTGGCTCATTCTAGCGTGGCCGTTTGGGGGACGGAAGGTGGCCCAGTGCTCAGCCACGTGCACACCACCCAGGAGACCGCTGCCTGCACTGGGCCACCAGCCGCCCGTGAGCCCTGCTGAGAGCGCAGCAGGGTGGAGACAGCCCGCTGCTGGGAGCAGAGGGACAGGGAGGGCGGCAATCGTCTTAAGAAATGAAAAAAATGGCGGCAAAAGCAAAAATGTCATTTAAAAAATGTTAGAAAGACCCCAAATGGTAGCAAACATGACAGAAAGAAACATCTGCCTCACTAACTAACCAATGTCCAAAAGAGCGGGTGCGGCCCTCCCTGTCCCGCACGCACCAGGGCGCAGGTGGGGGCTCTGCTCCCTCACGGGTGGGCAGCCGGTGTCGCCCCTGTGGGTGCCCCACTGGAGGACACAAAGGCCCAGATGCCAGCCTCAGTCTGAGATATTCCTATTCTCCTGGGAGCATCCCCCAGAGCACCCCCAAATCCTCTGCACACAGCACCCCTCTCAGGCTCTTCCCACTCCCACGGGCACAAGCCCTGACCCTCCGCGCAGGACCCTGCTGGGGCTGGGCCAGAAGCCTGAGCTGAATCTGTGGAGATGCAGAGAGGAGCAGAGCTAAACTCTCCGGAAGCTCTCAGGACACACACGCACACACACGCACGCGCACATGCACACACACGCGCGCACATGCACACACACGCGCGCGCGTGCACACGCACGCACACGCACACACATGCACACGTAACTGTTAACAGCCATTGTTTAATCAGAGCAGCCTCTTCTCTTTTGTTGAGCGGCAGGGCTCCAACTGTGCTTCTGCACATCCCCGGGGCTCTAATTGCACAGCTGTGCGGCCCCTGATGAAACAGGGACTCCGAATGTTTGTGAAATCACGTTGGACAAACCAAAAATATCTTTAGCACCGAGAAGGATGCAAGTTGGGGTGGAGGGGGCTATGGGGAGAAGGAATAGAAAGGAGGAAATTCTTGGGTTTCAGATAAAGAACTTGGAGATTACTAACTGCCCCTTTCTGAGCTCACAGGGACACTGCCCCATGGTCCCCTAGACCCTCCTCCTGTCCTGTCCTGTCCAGCCTTTGACAAGGATGGGATGGGGGATTCAGGCTGAGCCCTGGGGTGTGGCTGTGAGCATTGGGACAGAGGACCACCGGGGCCAGGCAGATAGCAGAAAGGGTCCTGGGGAGGGTCAGGGTTAGGCGAAGGCAAACCAGCCAAAATGCAGGGCGAGGAAGGGACAGGGGCTGTGCTGCTGAGGGAGCTGGCTGCCCTCGGGGGGAAGCTCTGGCCTTGGGGGGCACGCGCACCCGAGGAGCCAGGAAAGTCCCCGTGCTCAGTGCCGTGTTCAGAGCACAGCCTAGGACGGTGCGTGGCTGAAGCCGGAGGCCCAGGAAGGCCCCAGAGCCGGCTCACCAGCACCCTGGGGCGGGTTAACCAGACGTGTCCCTGGCAGGACCCCTCCTAACCCTGGGGGGCTCACTCGCTCCTCACAGGGCCTGTCTGGGAGCACACGTTTCTGCCACCTCAGCACCTTCCCCGAGCCTGAGACCAGAGCCACTGGGCTGGGAGTGGGGCTCCGGTTTCCCATGAGTTCACGGCCCTTCGGTGACGGGCATGAGCGGGCCCTGCATCTGCTTCTGCTGTCTGCAGAGCCTCCCGGAGCCTTCACGGGGGCAGCTGACCTTCCCGGTCCTCCCCCAGACGGATGACAGTGGGGCCTCCACCTGCCCCCCCAGACCCCAGGACAGACCGGTCCCTTCCCACCCACTGCTCTGCTGCCGCCCGCCGGCTGCCCCGCCCTCACCTGGCCCACTCTTTGAGCTCCTTGTGGGACAGCGAGTGGCCCTCCTTCACAGTCGCCACTGCGGTGACCCGCTGGCCCCACGTCATGTCTGGAACACCGATCACAGCCACATCTACGGGGGAAGACAGGGTGGGCACCTGCAGCACAGGGACCCTGGGGGGGCAGCCAAGCACACACAGGAAACGCAGGGATGCGGCCGAGCAGGCCCGGGAGACGGCTGCCGCGGCCTCCGGGGTCTCTGTGGGGGCCCAGGGTGGGAGCCAGCCGCCTGCGCACCATCCCTGCCCTCCCCCTGCACTGTCCTTGGGGACAGTACTGATAAATGGGCTGAGGACAATGAAAAGCCCGGAACATTCTGTCCCCAGGCCTAGGGGCTCCTGCAGACAGACCACCTGGGGCCCTGGGGCAATGGCTGGACTGGGGTCCACAGGAGCCACCTTGGCCACCAGTGTGGCCGTGGGACCCGCAGCCCCGCAGACACTCACCCTCGATGCTGGGGTGGGCCAGCAGCAGCCGCTCCACCTCCAGGGCGCTGACCTTGTAGCCACCGCTCTTGATGATGTCCACCGACGTGCGTCCCCGGATCCAGTAGCTGCCGTCCTTGAACATGGCGGTGTCGCCTGAGGAAAGGGGCTCTGCTGACCGGGAGGCAGGCTGGGGCCGGGCTCGGGTGTCAGCCCCGTGCCTGCAGGGGCAGGCAGGGAGGACACGCACACGGGTGGGCGCGGAGGTGCCTGCGTCTGCATCCGGCCGCTTGGGGGCAGCTGCGGGCACGGCCGTGACCTCGATCTGCAGTGCTGGCGCCAGGACAGCCCTCTGGCTGCCCCCGGCCAGTGCCCTACCTGCTGCCCCGCAGGCCCATGGAAACAGAGCAAACGAGAGCTGGCTGCCTCCCGGTGTCCACGCCAGGGTTCCAGCCACAGCAGAGCCCCGGTCGGGCTGGATATCACTGTGCCCCTTGCCCAATAGGTATTCCTGGGCCACACGGGGTTCCATGTGGGTCTTTGACAGGAGAACAGGGACTTTCTGCTCCTTCAGCTAACCACCCACTGTCCCACATTGCTCCCCTTGGGCGTCACCCCGGCAGGAGCCCTCCCCAGCTACAGATCCGGCCTTTCTCAGACGTCACCCAGCACTGGGGTGGGAGGGAACGGAGGACAAGGAGCTGGAGGTCTGCACTCCAGCCGGGGGCATCGAGGGTATGGAAGGTGGGCACGCACGTGTGTGAACGTGTGGCGTGTACGCCTGGGGACACCCCATCCCGCCCTCTGCAAGGAGTGAGGTCTCACCCGTCTGCTTTCACCCTGCACTTCATGCCGGGCTATTAGCTGAAATAAATCATAAATATTTCATTATACATCATGCCGTCCGACCCAGGAAGGAGCCATCCATCACTGGGCCCCTCCCTGAGACCTGCCGCCGAGCAGGGCGCTCTCCAGTCTATTAAACAAGACGGATGGTGTGCTTGGACGGGCCGCCGGTGTATTTATAGTGCAGCGGGAAGGCCAGGCTCCAAAAGCACAGGGTGGCGAGCATGTGGTTCTCTCCGCGCTGACAGGAAGCACAAGGAAGGAGAAGCTTCAGAAGTGTGCTGTGGGCGGGGACAGCCTGAAGGCGCAGGCGTGAGGTGACTGGAGTGGGCTGCAGGGCCTGGGGTGGACGCAGCCTGTCCCAAGCCCCTACGGTCCCGCAACCTCTCTCCCGCTCCCGCTGTGCAGCCTGGCTCTGCCGTGTCCCGCGCACTGGACGCTGTGCGGTCTCCCAGTTTCCTGTCTGCCAGCAGCCTGTCACTTAAATGCAGAGAATGGCCCCAGTCTGGGCCACTCCCCCCCCCACTGCCCAGGTGAGGCCGTGCTGGATTCGGGTCCCCCCAGGCTCCCTGGCCTGATTCCCCTGGCCTCCACCAGCCCAGGGACCCAGTGGAGCGAGGTGTCGCTGCCTGCCCTGGGCCGTGCCTCTGTCCCTGGTCTTGCTGGAGACCCCTCGCCGTCGACCATTCCGCGGCCGTCGTGTGTGGCTTTGAGGCCTCTGCGATGTCGCCTGCACCCTCTTTGAGAGCTCTCGGCCCAACGGCTGCACCCACAGGGGCCCCTCCACAGCCCCGGGGCACGCAGATGGCTCCCCGCATCAGCCCTATTCAGAGGGCACCTCCCTGGCGTCTGCAGGTGTCCCCTTCCCGCACACTAGTGCACAGAGGTGACGCTTCCTCTGCCGCCTCCTGCCAGCAGCCTGCTGGTGGGCAGTGAGACGAGGGCCTCTGCCGGAGGCCGGGCACTGGGCCGGCGGGTGCTGTGGACACACGGAGGTGTATCGTGGAGAGATCTGGGGATTTATATGCCAAGTAAGGAGAGGTGCACACTCGGAGAGCCTGGTCACTCACCCGGGTGTCAGGCAGAAACAACACACGCAGACAGGTGGTCCTCCTGGATTACCCAGAGGCCTCAAATGTGACCACACATGTCCCCAGAGAGGGAGGCAGAGGGAGATGGGACACATGGAGGAAAAGACCGTGTGAGGATGGAGGCAGAGGCTGGGGCGATGCAGCCATCAGCCAGGGACACCTGCAGCCCCGGAGCCGGGAGAGGTGGGAGGGATCCTCCCCGAGGCCCTCGGGAGGAAGCTGGCCCTGCGACACTAGGTTTCAGACCCCTGGTTCCCGGAGCCCGGAGGGAAGAGGCTCCTGTGGTGTGAACCCCTGTCAGTGCTGCGTGGGTGCAGCAGCCCCAGGACACCCCACCAGGCAGGGGCTGGGCAGTGAGCTCTGGCAGTGTTTGCCGGCCGGCCGGACAGAGGCAGGGCAGCCTGGCCTTGCGGAGCGACGTCTGGAGGGGAAGAAGCACGTGAAGTGGAGGCAAGGGTGGGGCTGAAGCCCAGTGCGTGGGGGGCCAGGGCGGAGGGGGTACCCCGAGAGCTGGGGGAAGGCCGGGCACAGGGCGAAGGGGCAGCGTTTGCATCTGAAAGCTCCAGGGGGGACAGGGTGGGGACGAGCAGGGCACCGAGCGCAGGAGCACAGCCTGGGTGAGGGCCGAGTGAAGGGGGAGGGAGTCCGAGCTTTCTGGCCACCTCATGGGTGGGTGACAGAGGGCCTGAAAGAGCGGGGCGCAGACATGAGTGGGGCCTTATGAGACTGGGCATGAACCTGAGGTGGGGCAAAGGTGGTTTTCCAGAGAAAACACTGAGCAAGAACCGAAAACAGTTCTGAGAAAGCCTGACTCACAAGGACGCGTCTGGAATGTGGGCCGGGTCTCCCAGCGGGCCCTTCGGCAGCGGCTGTGGTCAGCGAGGGACAGGCAGGTGCGTGGCCCCAGCCCAGTCCTCACAGCCATCCATGTGGCCGCTCACCGCGGGAGCCGAGGCCAAGGTCTGGGGCAAAGGCTCAGGGTGGGGACACCCAGGAGAGAGCTAGAAGACCAGGCAGGGTCACCCCACACCAGGGTGTGTGTGTGTGTGTCTGGGTGAATGCAGAGCAGGTAGGGTCACCACGTGACCCAGCAACCACAGTACAGCTGCACATCCTCCTGAGTCACGCTGAGGGCACACCCAGGGGGACAGCACAGCTGACCAGGGAGGACGTCAGTGCCCGCTGTGTCCTTCTTGAGGTACCAGGCTTGTGTGTCAGAGAGCGTGGCAGCCACCCATCAGTAAGAGGCTGCGCCTGAATCCCTAGGGCAGCAGGGTCAAGAGACTTGTCTTTCTACGAAAGCAGCCCACACCCGCCTCGGGGAGGTTCTGGGGATGCCTGGGACTCGCCTGGCCTTGGGGGTGTTCTTCCCAGCGTGTGTGCATCTGTGCAGGGGCCATGACGGCCCTCCAGGTGGCCCTCCGCCCACAGCTATGCTGGCCCCGATGGCCTCTGAACCCCTGGCTAGCCATGGAGGAGAAGGCCTCCCAAGGCCCACGAGGAATCCCAAGCTCCCAGGCCGGGCGGCTCCTGGCCTTTCATGAAGCTGCGAGGAGACCGGGAGGATTCCCAGTGCACAGCCTTCCCCCAGCTCCGCACCAACGCCACGTCCCTCCCTGCTCGGTGCACGCAGCTCCCTTTGGAGACCATGTCCCTGCCTCCCCCGTCATCTCCGAGAGCCTCCGGACACCACCCTGAAGGGCCCCCGCTGGTTATGTCTGCTCTCCACGTGGCTGGTGATGTGCAGTTTCTCAGGGCACCGTCACTGCATGAGCACTGGCGAGGGTGAGGACCCTGCCTGCGTCCTTTAGGGCTCCAGCCCCCCGCAGAGCCCGGCAGCCCAGGGGAGGGCCGTGCTGCCGAGCTGGTGCTTCGGACTAAACCGGTCAACGGCCTTCACTTCACCGCTTCTGGGAGTGGCCTCCTGCTGAGGGGCGTGTGCCGCCCTGGCTCTGCGCCGCCCCAGATCAGGGAGCTTCGCTGACCACACATACCAGGACCGGGACAATGGCACTGACGCCCGGCACATGGCTTTGCAGCAGACTTTAGGCACTGCCCTCCGCTGTAAACTGTCATTGAAAACAAGTCTCCCGACACTCAGAGGCTACATTTCTGGGTGTGTGGGCGAACCGTGGGCGGTAGGCCTGGCCTGGCCCACGTGTGGTCTTTGGACAAAGCACTCCCAGCTGGCCGAGTGCTGACTCTGGAGTGACATGGGAACAGCACTGTCCCTGTCCTGATAAGGATCCTGAGGTTGCTAGGGGGGTGCTGGGCACCCCACATGCCGCAGCCCTGACTGTGCAGAAAGCTAGAGCAGGTAGGTGAGTGAGGAAACAAAGGGGGAGACCCAGACCCACTGCGATGGCGGCCACAGAGCACCCTCATTTGGGCTCCTGGGCCTTGAGGACAGAGGGAGCCAGAGACCACTGGTCAGCTCCTCCCTGGCTGCTCTCTGAGCCTCCGCTCTGTCTGCAGGTCGCCCTTTAACTCGTGAAAGCAAAGCCTGACAAGCAAAGCCTGACAGGGCCGGCAGGGGTGCAGCTGTGCTGCGGGCTCCAGAGACGGGCCCTGGCTGCTGCCGTGCAGAGGCCTGGCGGCTGCTGTCCTGACAGAGTCCTGGGCACAGGGACACGGGACAGACCAGAGGAAGTGACGACATGACAGCTTCCGGAGCATGGACCTCGCCTGGGAGCACCAGGGAGAAAGGGCAGGTGAGCACAGTTCCCTCCCTCTTGAGACAAAACAACAGTCACCTTTAAAGGCACAAAGCTTTAAGCAGGGAGAATAGGAAAGGAGATTATGTTTGAAAAATTGGAAGCTGGAAGACAGATGCATTACTGGTCAAGAACTACACAGACCCCCAAGAGGTGACCGTGAGGGTGTGAAGAGGGCGAGGGTGTGAAGAGGGCGCTGATCCACACAGGCTCGGGCGGGGCCCGGTGGGAGGTGGAGTGAAGGGACCGAAAGTAGGAAGCGAGCGAGGAGCCCAGCCTGCGGCATGGTGGTGGCTTGCTCTTTGGGGACAGAGGGTGCTGGACGGCCAGGCAGGAGGAGGGGTGGGCCTGTGAGCACTCAGGGCCGGCCACCCCACCCACCCTTCTCACTCTCCGCCACCAGAGGTCGCTGGGCTTCAGAGGGGAGAAAACCAGCCAAACCATTCCCAGAACTCCAAGACAGGGTTCCAGAGTGAGGCAGAAGAAAGTCAGAGCGCCCCCAGTG